TTGCAATTTAGATTCCCTGGTGTCTAGGAAATTGAAAAAGCTGCTAAGGAAAACTGAGCTAATCCTCTACTCTGGGGTTTCCAAACTTCTTCTTCCCCTGCTGGCTGAGGATTTCAGGGTGTTGAAGTCTACAAGTCTTAAAATTGCCAAGTTTGGAGACCTGCTCCAGTCCCAGGGAATGAAGTTCACCCTTCTGTCAATGTCAGGCCACATCAGATCATGAACAGGCAAACTGCCCTTATAGCTCCAATGTCTGTTTTCCCCCCAGTCAAACTCTGTGTTTTGTTCCATTTGGTTTTTTCCGTACCTTGGCACCTCAGTGAAAATGTCTGCCTTTCATTTCAAACACTACAAAAATTAAGAAATGAAGTAGTGGCAAAGAACTGCAGCTTCACCGTTAATCTTATTCAAGGATCATAAATGCATAATATCACTTTTAGCTCTATTGGGCTGCTGGGGAATTCTGGGAGTTGAAGTCCACACAACTTTAAATTGCTAAAGGTTGAGAAGCACTGGGCTAGACTGATGCAGTATTCTTTATCCTCTAATTCTACCGATAATCGTAAATTTACAACAGTTCATTTAGTGACCATTCAAAGTTACAATGGCATTGGAAAAAGTGACTTATTACTCCTTTTCACTTTTAACTGTTGCAGCATCCTCAAGGTCACGTGATCAAAATTTAGATGCTTGAGAACTGAGTCATCTTTATGATGGTTGCAGTATCCTGAAGTCACATGCGAAGCCAAGCGAAGCCAACAGAAATCCACATTAATCTAACAATCATGTTACTAACTACTACTAACTGTAGTAATTCACTTAACAACTTAGCAAGAAAGGTGGGGCAAAACTCACGTAACCAGTGTCTCACTAAGCAACAGAAATTTGGGCTCAATTGTGATGGTAAGTGAAGGACCACCTGTATATACCATATTTTTGGAGTATAAGACACACTGGAGTATAAGACGCACCAAGGTTTTGAAGAGGCATTTTTTTTAAGAAAGTAGGTTGGTAGAGGGATAGAGAGGGAGAGAAAGAGAGAGAAATACAGTAGGTAGGTAGGGAGAGAGAGAGTAGGTAGGTAGGAAGGTAGGTAGGTAGGTAGGTAGGTAGGTAGGTAGGTAGATAAAGGGAGAGGGAGGGAGAGAAATAGATATACAGTAGGTAGGTAGGGAGAGAGAGAGTAGGTAGGTAGGTAGATAGAGGGAGAGAGAGAGAGAGAGATAGAGGGAGGGAGAGAGAGAGAGAGAGAAATATAGTAGATAGGGAGGGAGGGAGAGAGTAGGTAGGTATGTAAGTAGATAGAGGCGGGGAGAGAGAAAAAAAAAAAAAAAATAGATAGATAGATAGATAGATAGATAGATAGATAGATAGATAGATAGATAGATAGATAGATAGATAGATAGATAGATAGATAGATAAGGTAGGTAGGTAGATGTTTCCAGGTGTATTTATCCATGTGCTAGAGAAGGAAATTGCTGACAATCTGCAGCACCTAAGACTTTGTTTCTGCTGGCACAGCACTTGATCAATCTAATTCTCATCAATCAGTTAAAGAGCCTTCCAAAAAGAAAAAAAAGTTTTTGCACTCTGCAAACTTCCCAAAAACGGCCCCTTTTTTTGTGAAAACGGGCCCATTTCCCTACCCCAAAAGGCATGAATAGCCTTGGGAGGGCTTGCAGAGTGCTCCTGGGGGGTTGAGGGGTGAATGAGCAAAAAAAGGCTGGTTTTCGCAAAAACAGGCCTGTTTTTTGTCAAAAAAATTGCATGCATAGCCTTATGGAGGCTTATAGAGTGCTTCTGGGGGCTGGGGGGGGGGGAAATGGCCCATTGTTTGCTCATTTCTGCCCTCCCAGCCCCCCAGGAGCTCTCTGAAAACTTCCATAAGGCTATGCACAGCCATTTTGATGAAGGGGGCTTCAGGAGGCAAAAAATGCCATATTCGATGTATAAGACGCACCCAGATTTTCAGCCTCTTTTTTGAGGAAAAAGGGTGCATCTTACACTCCGAAAAATATGGGTAACTGTAGAATTCTACATATTTCTGATTAAAATTATTGTAATCGTACATCATTCTAATTGTTCTGATTTTTGCCCACCACAGTTACATAGATTGCTTCCTACAATGGTTTGGAGAGGTTGAGTCTATCCCAATTTGTCAAGGAGCAGAATATTTTCCTTAAAGACACTGAAAAAAACCACAGGTGGATATTTCTGAAGGACTTCAGTCTAATAGCACAAGGAGAGAGAGTTAAAAATGTGGGCCTTCAAACTAATCATAAATTATGCATTTATTGGATCTGGCAGAAAGACTCTCTTCTAACATAGTATACTAAATGGTTTTAATTGTTTAATGTTACTCAAGGGACTTAATCTTTTTTCAGGGTGGGAAATTAAAAACAGATTAATGTATAATGTTAATTCCAGTACCTGGGTTGATCTGGATGATATCATAAATATAAATCTATATTAGGAAAATACAGATTTCTAGACCAATTTCAACATTTATAATATCAAATCTTTTGGCACACACAGATTTCCTCAAAGGGCAGCCAAGTCAATTATGCAATTAAAGGTAAAGGTTCCCCTCACACATATGTACTAGTTGTTCCTGACTCTAGGGGGCGGTGCTCATCTCCGTTTCAAAGCCAAAGAGCCAGCACTGTCCAAAGATGTTCTCCGTTGTCATGTGGCCGGCGCTGGCATGATTAAACGCCGAAGGCGCACGGAATGCTGTTACCTTCCCACCAAAGGTTGTTCCTATTTTTCTACTTGCATTTTTTATGTGCTTTCAAACTGCTAAGTTGGCAGAAGCTGGGACAAGTAATGGGAGCTCACTCTGTTATGCGGCACTAGGGATTCGAACCGCCGAATTGCCGACCTTTCTGATCGACAAGCTCTGCCTTTTAGCCACTGAGCCACCGCATCCCTTATTCCATTACTGTAGTCTATTATTTGATTTCAATGCTTTTAATATTCCTTTTGTATCATATTTTACCCATTTTTAAAACACTACAGAGGAGATACAGGTAGTTTTAAACTTACATACATTTGTTTAGTGACCGTTCAAAGTTACGACAGCAGTGAAAAAAGTGGACTTTTCATGCTTAAAATTGTTGCAGCATCTCCTGGTCACATGATCAAAATTTGGGTGCTTGGCAACTGGCAGGTATTTATGACAATTGCATGTCCCAGGGTCATGTGACCACCATTTGTAATATTTTCAGCCAATGTCTGACAAACACAGTCAATGGGGGAAGCCAATTCACTTAACAACGGCATGATTTACTTAACAACAGCTGTGATTCACTTAACTGAGCAAAAAGGTCATAAAATGGGGTAAAACTCACTTAACAACTCCTTGCTTTAGTAACAAAAAATTTGGGCTCAGTTGAGGTCGTAAGTTGAGGACCATCTGTATACACCAAGGCAAGTAAATTTGAACATTTTTAAATGACAACTGTTCTGTATTATAATTCAAAAGATGTCAGCAAAGCCTTTCCATCTGGGTGGGAATTCTGGGAGTTGTTCAAATGCTAATGGCTTCCCAGGTTGGGAAAATGGCAGTAGCACTTAAGACTTATATATCGCTTCATAGTGCTTTATGGCTCTCTCTAACCAGTTTACAAAGTCCACATATTGCTCCCAACAATCTGGGTCCTGCTTTTACCAGCCTTGGAAGGATGGAAAATTAAGTTAATCTTGAGATAGTCAGGATAGAACTCCTGGCAGTTGGCAAAGTCAGCCTGCAATACTGCACTATGCCACCACAGCTCTATGATTATATGCAACATAATGCAATATATGAAATCCCCACTGCCTTCCCAAGTTAATAGAAAGGCATATTAATCTGTTGCAGCAAACAATTTAGTAACAGGCTTAATAGATCCCTCTAAAAGGATCCCCACAAAAGCGTGCTGGTTTTTAAAGTACCAACAAAGGAGATTCCTTGTATCTCAGGGTTTAAATCAGTGCCTTGCTGAAGTTACCTAGTTTGGGTAATGAAATGTCTGCAAGAAAAAAAACCCCAATCTCTGAGAGCACCAAAAACCTCATTGTTTTTAAAGGATCAAACCTATTTTGTGATGTATCTTGCCTTGTGCAGTGATCATGAAAAGCAGCTGGGCCCAAATATTACCCTGTCAACAGCTCAGTTTCGCTGGAAGAAATTCAGATGGAATCCACATATACATATGCATGCAATACAGAACGTTAGCTACTGTCTAAAAGTCCACTGGTTTATACAATACAAAAGGAGTACTAGAACCTTTGAAATCAATAAAATGGAGACTACAATAATGTTATAATTGATAATCCCAAAGGATTTGATTTTATAAATGTTTAAACTGGCCTAGAAACGATTTTGTTAATGTGGATTTAATAGGGATTGATCTCCACTCACTGGAAGCCGGGCATGTGCGGATTAGACCTCCCTATATTCTCACCAGGGTAACTGCTTCTCTCCCTGACAGGCTCGCTCTATCCAAACCGTTGGCCCCCAACTTTCACCCAGATTCCTTGACTGCGTGCATGCCCTTCCAAACCCCAGTCTGCCCCGGAGAGACCTGCGGTGCAAGATACGAGCGAAGACGCGGCCAGGCGGAATCCTTGCGACATTGCCCCCGGGTTCAGCGCGGGGTCACTGAGTACCAGATGGACCACGAGAGCCTTTTCGGTGCTGGGGGGAGCCGGCGAAGGCAAATCGGTAGAAAGACGCCGTGGAACCCTCGGGTTCCTTGCTTGAATGCTTGGCAGGGCGGAAAGCTGCGGTCTTTCCAGAAAGATCAAAGGGCCGCTCCAGCCTGGGGAAAAAAGCGGCTAGGGGATCCTGAGGACTGAAGCGCAAGAGTACTCGAGAAGGACTAGCGCCTTGCAAAGTCCTCTAAGGAAAACGGAACCGAGATGATCAGTGGAAGCCTCTAAATTGCTCGGCTAACTATAATTTGTAACCTCCTGCTTTGTGTGTGTGTGTGTGTGTGGTTGGGGGGGGGGAAGCGGTGAGTATGTGCGTGAGTTTGCAATGCCAAGATCGGACTGGCTTTTCCCTCCGATTCCTGAGCCCACCAGCTGTTAGTGACGGAGGAGGAGGTGGACGAAGGAAGGAGTTGCATTTTGTCAGGCTAACAACTCATTCCTAGATCGGGTTCCCCCATCTCCCCCACCCCTTCTGCGCAAGATATCAGCAGCCCCCGGGCTGCGAGCTCCTCCCACTAGGAACAACTTTCGCTTTCGCTGCCAATGCAAGCGAACTCCTGGGCCTTTTTGTTATATTCGTTCCCCTTATAACGCACGTGTCAGCACAGCTGGCAACTCTCCTGCAGCACCTCCGCTGGCGAGGAAGAGTGGGTCGGCGCTGAACGACGTCCCCCTCATCCCAGACCCCAGAACAACTATTGCCCTCCTGGGACGCGGCGCGCTTCCTCTACCTGCCCGCGTCGCATCTCTGCAGGTAAGCCAAAAGGTTCTTTCTTGCTGGCCAGAAGGTTCAATCCTGCCGCCTCGTTCCTTCGAGTGAAGTGTCTCGAGGAGGGGAAAAACGGGATGCCGCCACTTTAATTTTTGGGGCGGTGGAGCGGGGAGCCTTCCAGGGAATGTCAAGGGCTGAGTCCTAACAAGGATAACGGGCGGGGAGGCTTCGGGGACTCTTTTCCTATAAGCTCGGTGGGTTGAGGGCTTGTTCGCGCGGGGCACCTTCTCTGCGCTTGGTTTAATCCTCTCCCAACCCCAGCTCAGGAATTTGGGGTTTTCTTCAGGAGAACCACCTGCTGGATAGGCTTCAACGTGGGAACGAGGGGCTGATGGTCTGGGGCTGATAATCATGATTTCTGAGAATCCGTTCCCTGGTGAACTTGCTGGGCTCCCATGGTGCTTGGACTGGTATCATTTTTAAGGGGTTCTGGACAGAGCATCCTCATGTGGCCATGGATATTGGAGAGGAGTTTCCGATGGACAGCTCCGTTTTCCAGTCAAGTGAATTCCTGCAGCCCTATTCCCCCCCCCCCCTTTTCCGGTGCTTTGCTGGGTTTTTAAAAAAATTGGCATAATGAAACAGAACTTTTCCCAGTACAGGTAGTCCTCAACTTACAATAGCTCATTTAGTGATCATTCCAAGTTACAACACACTGAAAATGACTTGTGTGTATATATATCTCAGCAAACCATCTAAGGATGAGTGAAAGATGATTAGAATGCTAACGTCTGTTCCTCCCCCACCTCCTTTTTGGGCTAAATTTTTGCAAGGCAAGAAGCAGTTTTGCTAAACTCCCCAAGCCCCAGTGTAAGCGAAAAGAGTGGAGAGAATGTCCCTTATTCCCCCCCCCCATTTATATAAAAGTTTCAAAAAACAATCATCAAAACTGCGCTGCTGTCTCAGCTAAGCCAAAAGGAACAGCAAAGAAAAAATTTCCCCTCTCTGCCAGTGAAAGTGTGATTAAATGACTTTTGGTATATACCTCTCAGCAGAAGTATTTGATTAATGCGGTTGATATCATGAATGATAACTGTGTGAACGGATGTTCTGAGACTGAATAACATGTAAACAGTATAATCTGCCAGTGTATAAACAGAAACATTCTTTGTAATTGAGATTATTTTGACATGGAAACTACTTTGGTGGTTTGTGTGGGATCAAAGCTAGTTTAGCAAGGGCTTGGGGGGGGGGGAAATTTTAGTTTCTTTCTTGCTATTTAAAAGCAATCCCTTTTAATTTGGAGGGGGCGGTTGGAGACATAATCCTCCATTTACTGGTGCTAAGTCAACAAACTTTGGTTGGTCTTGAAAAATGAGCAGAACCAGACCTAGAAAAGACAAGGAGCAAAATCCCAGGATTACAGGGTAGATTGGAAGCTGGGGCAGTGATTGGGGGAGGGGGGAGAGATGGTAGCAAGAAGAAGAAGACAATTGGCAAATTACTTCTAGAAGCCATTATTCCTGCTTAGAAAACTAGTGAACATGTCCATAATGTTATCAGAAGACAATTTGAAGAATATGATTTTTTAAAAATACATTTTTCAGAATCTTCCAGCTCCATAGAATGTGATGCTCCATACACCTGGAGCCCAAGGAAGTAAAGAAAATAAAAACCATTAGGTTAAAGAAATGATTTAGTGTGGGCAATTCTTGGAGTTGGGAGTTGAGAAACACTGTCCTATTCTTTTTGCAATCTTATGAACATGAAATAGTTTCAGTTTGCCTTTTATTTTCTTAGAAAACATAAATACTGTTACATTCCCAAATTTTATGATGATTTAATGTCCTAGATGTTGTGAATCATCAAAAAAAAGTTATTCTCTTATTCTTTTTTTCCCCCAATGTCCCTGCAGAGTTTCTCTTGGAACCATCTGAGTTCCCTGATGAACTTATTTTTCTCCTTTTTTTAAAAAAAAAGTGTTCAGTAAAAATGGAAAAGGTGGCTTACTTCAAAATAAAACACCTGCCTAATATTATCTTTTTTTTTAGAAAATAAAAATGATGGTTGGATGCAGCCCAATATAAACGTGTCCAATATCCCCCCCTGGGGGGGGGAAAGGTGAAGAGGGCATTTGGACATGTCCTGAGTTTGATAGATTTTGGAAAATTTGGAACTGCTCCTGCTATTTAATGAGGGGATTCATTTTTGCGAGAGCTCTTAAAATTTTAAATTGGTTCCCCAGCTTTCTTGCAGGTTTTGTGGACAGAAAATTTCATGTTGAATCTCAGAAATGGTGCTCAGTTAGACACGGAAAGGTATAACGGAGCCACTGAATATATGAACCTGTTGAAGAGCATGATCTTTCCATCTAGAGTCCTCTGCCCAATGGAGCATCTTAGCCTCTGAAATTCGCCAGGCCACACACCCTTTCAACTTTTTGTAGATCCTTAAAAACCTGATTCTCCCCACCCCAGGGGTGGTATACACTCACCATCCCTACCAGTTCACAAATGTGAAAGCGCACATGCACTTTTGGCAAAAAAAGAGCACAAATGGGATGCGGTAGAACTGGGGTGGGTGGGCGTGGCGTCCCACGATTTCCACTACTGGTTCGGGTGAACCGGTCCAAACTGGTAGAATACTACCTCTGAGTCCCCCCCCTCCCGCAAAACATTGGGAGACTAGAAATGATACATCTACATGGATTGGCACCAGATTTTTTGTTTTTATTACTTTTTAATGTTTTACATTTTAACTGAGTTTGTGTTTTGCAGTTTGTAAAATGATACTATTGGGAGCCGCCCAGACTTGTCTGAAAGATGGGCAATTACATGATCATTTTAAATAAATGAATATATTTCAACTATTAAACCTGCTTGATACTTTATGCATTTATTTAAAAAACCGACCATTAATCAGTTGAGTCATGATGACTAAAAAGACATTATCTAAGGGAAGGAGAAAGAAGGAATGAAATGCTTTAAATTGTCTACTTAGGACTTGTATGAGAAAACTTTAGAAAAGGGAAAAATTACCTCCTTAATCCTCAATTTATGAGCCCATAATTTCCATTGCTAAGTGAGGCACTTCATTTTTATGACTTTTTTGCCATAGTTGCTAAATGTATCACTGTAGTTGTTATATGAATCATGTGGTTGTTATATGAATCATGAATCATTAAGCGAATCTGGCTTCCCCCTTTGATTTGGTTGTCAGAAGCTGCCTAGGGAAGGTTATAAATGGTGATCATATAAGCCACATGTCATAAATACATGCCAGTTGCCAAGTGCCCAGATTTTGATCACTGGGCACTGCAGCAGTCATAAATGTGAAAAAAGCTCATGTCACTTTTTTCACTGCTGTTGTAACTTCGAACAGTCACTAAACAAATGGTTATAAGTCGAGAACTACTTGTATTGTTGCTAGGAAAAAGAATATGGAACTGTCCAGATAGACTCCAGTTCAGATTTGGTTTATGCTCTTCAGTTACTTGTTAATTAAAATATTGCTGGTTAGCCTAACCTGTAAACTGATCTTCTACAGTAGGTGGTAGAGTAAATTACACGTTTCTTATTTGGCCCATGCAACAGTTTTTGAAACTAACTTGTGGAAAGGAAGTTGCATAGAGGTTAGTCCTCAACTAAAGAGGCCCAAAATTTCTGTTGCTAAGAAAGACTTTGGTTAAATGAGTTTTGCCACAGTTTGCAATCTTTCTTGCCTCAGTTTTAAGTAAATCATTGTGCTTATTAAATTAGTAACCCGATTGTTAAGTGAATCTGGCTTCCCCATTGTCAGAAAATTGCAAAAGGGGATCACATTGTCCATTGCTGAGTCGGTGAGAGGCCTGGATGCCTCCCCTTCCTTTTTTTCCATCGCAGCCTTTTGGATACCATTCCTGTCCCTCTCCATTACCGGCGAGCCTTACCATCTCCCTACCCAGCATTGACTCTCCTTCACCTCAGCTGGGACCATCTGCTCTGGTC